TTAAATATGTGAAGGGTAGTTCGCATCATCAGCCTGGGTATTACCAGAAGTTCATGATCGTGCCTCTGGTTTCCTTTTGTGCGTGAATCTGGATTGGGTTAGCTTAGAACCACTGAAGCTTATGTGTTTCTCTTGATTTGATCTGACTGTAAAAGGGGGGGGGGGTTCGATGGATAAACCCACGAGCTTCATGACTCCATTTCCGTTTGCATGATAGACTGAAAATTCTGGACAAGTCATGGCTAAAAATTGCAGCAAGGTTTCTGATTTTCCAGATTTGCGTGATAAGCTTTCTTGAGTTTTTTGTTTCCTTGTTTGGGCTTGCGGTTTGGCTAGCTGTTGTTTACTCTAAAGCCTTTGATGCTTGGTTAAAAATTCTGATTCATTATGGGTTGCCGAAAGCTTCCTGGTTTTGCAGAAATTCTTGCGGCATGCTGTCTTGCTGTTTTTCTTTATTTTGGGCGGTCATCAACTTGGATTTGCCATCTTATTCTTGCAAACAAAATGTCATGTTTGATTTGGGTTAATAATTTCTGTTTTGGTGAACTTGTTTGTATGATGAATTGGGTGTAGTTGTTGCTAGACATTGCCGAAGCTATGTGCATACAAGGAAGCAGCCTTTGTTTTTTAGTTGCAGAATTTTAAGCTTCTACGTAGCATGCATGTAAATGCTTTTAAAAAATTGCACTCCAACCCCTTGGCTTCTATCTAATCCTTCTAAGGCCCGTAAGCTTTGAAAATCAATCAATTGGGTCCCTGAAATTTGGCAGCAATATTACAAAGACTCAACTAAGTTCTAATTTTTGCAAATAGATCTTAGAATAGTTGGATTTCAAGCCATTACTTGACTTTATCTTTGCCTTTGGATTTCGAAGTGCCTAGAAGTGTTTGATAAGCTTGAGTGTTTGGTTAATGTTCGCATTTGAGTCCTTGGTAGCCTCAATTTTTCAACTCGATTGCTTGTTTGTTTTCATTTGTTTAAGTGGCACTTAATGCATGATTTTGTGAACCTTATGTCTACATGAGCTTATGTTTGCCTTTTCTCTTTAATTTTCCTAAATCAATTTGTTGCTTGACCTTTTTCTTGCTCTGGGACCTTTAAGGTTTTTAAAACGTTTTAATTGATTTCGGTTTGATTGATTAATGGTTGCTTTTGGATCCCAAAATGCAAGTGAAACCACTCATTGACCCGTATTTGATCTTGGGCCCTTGAAATTCTATAATAATTAATTGGACTTGAGGGGTTGTTAATATTCATGTTGAGATGGTTTAGATGATCGATTGGTCTAATTTGTTTTTTATTTGATCATTTCTAAGTTGCAAAGTGAGGACGGATTCGATGCTTGATGGATTCCAATTGTCATGTTTGTATTTTATCATTATATTGGTGCATTAATCCTTTCCTTTGAATGGTTTTAGCCCAAATTAGCTTCTTCTTTAGTGACCATAGCCCAAGTTGAGTCTCGTTCACCTTACTAGCATTACACACGGGGGAGGTACAATTTCTTTTTATCTCTTTTCGTTTCTCCTATGTGCTCTTATGTGTTATGTGAATATGCCTGTCTACTTCGCTTTCCTTGCCTCCTTGCATGCATTTACTTGCTTTTACTTTTATTTAAGTTTTATGGGGTATGTGTACACCTCTTGGCTTGTAATAGATAGGGCTCGAAGAGCATTTGGTCCATTTTCCCTTCCCCTTTATGTTTTTATGGGGTATGTGTACACCTCTTGGCTTGTAATAGATAGGGCTCGAAGAGCATTTGGTCCATTTTCCCTTCCCCTTTATGCTTTTATGGGGTATGTGTACACCTCTTGGCTTGTAATAGATAGTGCTCGTAGAGCATCTGGTCCATTTCCCCTTCCCCTTGGTTGCTTGCTTTTGTTGTTACATGTTAAATTGCTTTAGTAGGCTCTTGCATCTAGTCGAGCATGCTAAGTGCTACGTGCTACGTGTTTACGAGCGTTTTGGCATGTCTACTTGCTTTCATAACCATGAATGAATGGAATGGATGAATGTACGTCACCACACTAGCCTAACGCTAGTTGTGGCTCATTATTTCATTAGGAATTCATAGAAAGGGCTAGTCCAACGCTAGACCCAATAGGATTTTTCCTTTGTTTTTCTTCATTAATGCATTATTTGCCTGTTCACTACATATCACGCATTTTCCTTAGTTTTATCATTTGGCATGATCCTCGACCCCCCCTTTCCCTCATTTTAGGTTTTGCATCCCATACTAGCTATAGGGTTCATTTTGCTTGAGTGTCCCCTTCCGATAAGGGAAACGAGCGAGTGTGGCTACTCGATAGCCTTAGCACGCTAGTTTCGCCTTCTAATCAAAGGGAAAATCAAGTCACGATTTAGGTCTCCCCGTACCCAATATGCATGAATTCCCTAGGCTCATGCATTCTCAATCCACTCTATCATTACACTTTCACTTTTGTCTCATTTGCACACATGCACCTTTTTATCACCTTCACTTGCACATGAACACTTTTTTGTCTCCACTTGCAGACGAACCCTTTTTATCTTCACTCGCACACGAACATTTTTATCTTCACTCGCACACGAGTACTTTCATCTACATTTGCACACCTTCACTCTTATCTTATTACTTTTATCATTTTTCTCACTTCATACAAACTCACACTTTCACATGGCATGCATTCCACTCATTTTTCACGTCATTTAGGTTTAGGTGTGACCTCTCCAAAAGGATCATTATTGGGCTTCACAATTAATGTGATTGGCACCACTCAACCTTTGAAGAGAAATTTCCCCCATGTCCCCCTAGGTCTAGGTTTTTGCATTCATATAGACATATCCAATACGCGATACATACCTTGGGTAGAAAAATTAGGAAAAATTGGTTCAAGTCACGCAACTAGCCTTGGATAGGTCGAAGGGGTGCCTTGGATTTTTATCCTTGCCTTCCCCTTCGTCAAATGTGACCCCCGATCCCTCTTTTGGTTACGTAGACCCAAAAGTTCTCAAAAAGGGTTTATTTACTTTTTTATTCAAAAACAAAAATCATTTTTGGGTGACTTGGTACACCCTAACTCTTTACCAAGTGGCGACTCCATTTTTTATACAAAAAACCCTTTTTGAACTTTATATGGCCAAACCGTCGCATTATCAAGTCCCATGGCCTTTATTTTCATTTTGCACACGTTCACACTCCCATCTCACACCACACTACTCACACGCACACACACACATCATTCATTCAAAAAGTGGGGCGCGACATACGTGACCTACAAGGAGCTTAAAAAATGGTTGGGGAAATAAATAAATAACTAATGATCTCGTCAAAAATTTTGTTGGGATGCAATTGGCTAGTCAAATTGCTTATTTATTAAAAGTTTGGCTATTTAAATTATTTTGGACTAAATTAAACAAACAATAGGGTTCCCACGTCATTTGGACAAATCTCAGGAGAGGAAATATAATTTGGCCGAATTTTCAAGGGAAGTCAACGTAATCGACTCAATTTATAAAAAGGTACAGCTTTCGTACATATATTTTGCTGATACAAGCTTTAGGGTTAATTTTAGAAACCTCTCCTCAAGTTTGCAATAATATCACTCGATACCTATGACTTCGAGAAACCTCAGCTACCTCTCTTATTTTCAACTTTCAGCAACTTTATCAACTCATTCCAAAAAAATGATTTTAAAACTCATTTTAGGAGAGATAAAATATTTCTATTTCAAAATTACCATTTGCTTATGGACTTTTAGTTTTCATAAAATGCCAAGTTAAATCCTTAAGAATTACAACATATGAATGAGATTGAAAGACCTTTTGTAGTTTTCGAAGTCACCGGCCCGGACAAGAATGTAAAAGAAAACATTGTTATAATTAGAAAAAACATTTGGCACATTAAAAATACCTCAAACAGGTTTCTAAATATATTGTTAATAATTTATCTTTCTCTTTTTTTTTTTTTCAATTTATTGATCTGGACAAAAAGTTAGAATATTACAAAAATTCTAAACAATTTATAAAATTCTAAATTCATCCAAAAATAATTTGTAATAAAGAAAGTTAAATTTATGTTTTGTAAACACCTCAGACGAGTTTATAAACATAGTTTTAGACATTGTCCCTGTTTCTCATATTCAAGTCATCGATCTATACAAAAAAAATTTTAAAAAGTTCAAAATTCTTAAATTTATAAAACTCCTCTAATTAACAAAAACGCCTTACACTGAAAGAAATAAATTTTTTATACTTTTACAGAGTCTGAATAATTTTCCTTCCCTTATTCTGCTAATTATTTATTCAACCATCTTTCAAATGTTTTTCGTGTGTACATGTCCTAATCTATAAATGGATTCAGATTTTTTTTGTCCTATCTTAGATGAATTTTTAATTTTTCTTTCTGTAACAATCAGAATTTACCGAAATATGAACATTCCTTGTAAAAATATCTAATATGTTGACATTTATGTATAATGTCATCAAGCTTTGGTTATTATAAGATCAAATGAAATGGTACAATTGTTATGGATCACTGGGTGATCTCTTTTTTTTTTTTTTTTTTTTTTAAGCATTAAGGATGAGATTTTTGTGGTTAATTCATAAGAGAAAACTCTATGTCGTTGTGACCATTTTTCAGAAGATGCTTTAAGCTGTGGTAAGTATTATATAAAACATGGATTGTATTTATAAAAGTAAAGGAAAGGAAATAATTGAAAGAAAAGTGCTATAACATGGATTCTTTTTTTTTTCTTCCTATTTCTGATGACAGTTAACATGGACGCCATTTGATAAACGTTTTGTTATTCATGACGTTTGACTGTAATTTCGTCAAACTATGGGGTATGGTAATTTGATCAAACAGCAAATTAACCCAAACAATTTTTATAACAATTTTTACCCAAATTATCCACTTCAATTTTTCAAATCCAAAAGTAAAGAATACATGTAAAATGATAATCGATTTGACCCAATTTTTTTAATCCTCGTAGAATCAAGAATATATCCAATTTTCCCCTTCCAATTACCTAAACCACTTTAGAATAAAGTCCCCAATTTCCAAGTTTTAACTGAAGGACAGAATCTTTTGAACACTTGCCATGGCAGGCTCATCCGGCAACAACCATCCTCCTCCACAGCCTACGCCACCTTCCAGGGCGGCTTCGGCGGCTACTCCGCCAATTGATGAGGATCAGGCCAAGTGGGGCACTCGCATCATGGGTCAGCCTGCAGCTCCAACAACTCATCCAGATAATCAAAGGGCAGCCTCATGGAGAGCTGAAGATCAGCAGCAGCGGTTCAATCAGCAGCACCCTTATGTTGTTTATTCACCTGTTGGAAAGCCTAGCGATAACCCTTTGGAATCTGTGGTTCATATCTTCAATTCTTGGAGCTATAGAGCGGAGACTGTGTTATGGAATTTCTGGACCTTGTATGAATAGGTTAATCTTTTCGTAACAATGGTATCAGAGCCAGGCAACGAACCCAACGTCCCAGGTTCGAATCTCGCAAAGGCTCTGCCTCGATGAAGGGGGAGTCCCAAAATTACCAGGCCGTCGAGGACGTCGACCTCTAAGGAGGGGCGTTTGTTATGGAATTTCTGGACCTTGTAGCAAAGAACATCTGGTACAATTGTGAGTTGATTATCCAATATGGCATTTCTTTATTTCTGTTTGTGCCTAATTGATTACTATGGATATCTAGAATTGGCTTTCTTGATTGGTATTGAGAATATGGATGATGGGATTTTTTTCCCGGAGTTGAAATTGAAGAGTTCCTTTTAGATGGTTCATAGAAGCACATAAACAAAGAAATAATATATTGGCAGCTCTTGGGACATGGTGTATCATGTTTGTGCGATGAAGATTTGATTTAGAAAAATAAAAAAGTGGTTAGAAGACGTGTTTATGGATGTTCCATTACAAATTTTTTTTTTCGGAAAATGTGATTTGTTTACAATACAAATTTCTGTTTCTTGAATTGATTTCTTTACCTTAGACATTTCATGCTAGTAATGTTGACTTTAGAATTGCTTGGCTGATCATATTTAGAATAAAGACAACTATTTTATATGCCAAAACTTGAATTGACGATCGATGTTAAGACAAGATGATACTTTTTGCTGCAGAGTTTTCTGTTTTTTGGTTGAGTGTGTTTCCATGTATGTAAAACGCAGGGAACATGTGAGATTGTTATATTTGGATTGGTTTCTGTAGAAAGGAAAGACGATTTAACTTTGTGTAATTGCAGTGAAAACTGGACCATTTGTCTCAAGAACTGCGTGAAGAAACTTAATTTGACCACAAAAGCATTGACTGAAGGGGGATTTGAGTCTCTTTACAAGCAGATTTTTGCTACGCATTGAATTGAAAGCTTGAAGAAGACTTTTGCTTGTTACCTTTCAACCTCAACAGGTCCTGTTGCTGGAACTGTCAACGCTTCAAGTGGCCTTCTGCAGTGATAGTCCCTTGTCCTTTAGAGCTCCTTCTGGACAAGAAACTTGAAACTATTACATGGTAAAAAGACAAACTCCTGATGGTAGATACTGCTTTTAAGTCATAAACAGTGACGAGTCTCCTCTGTTTTTTTGTTAAATTGGTAAATCTCTACTCTGTTTTGTGGTTAATTGGTAGGATCTGATTAGGTTAAGTATAAGCTAGGTTCCAAGTTTATCAGAAACTTTACTGTGTACCCAAAAATTTTCACTTTCTGATGCTGGGCAATGTTTGGATTTTGTGTTTGACTAGCTTGTTTCAGGTTTTGCTGGTTCTTGAATTTATAAATTGGGGTTTATTCTTGTTCTTTGCCTCTTTGATAGGATCAATACGAGTCAGGGCAGGATAATTCTAGAGATGATGATTTTGATGACCAAAACTATCTTCGAAGTATTTATTCTTGATCTTTTATGAGTTGGGCAGGATAATTCTAGAGATAACGATTTAGATGACCAAAACTATCTTCAAAGTATCTTCAAAGTATTTATTCTTGATCTTTTACCAATTCTTGTTAGGTTAGGTAATTCAACCATTCAGAACTGTGTCACATTTGATTAGGCTGATTTGAGCTTGGCAGACTTTCTATGTGACCAATTTCTGGTTATACAAGTCGAAATGTCATTAACATCATTGTACAGAATCCAGTAGCTAGTTATTGTGATGCAAACAAGATTGGAGAAATAAATATGTTGATGACTCTTCTATGGAACTTCTGATGATGATGAAATCTCATTGCCTTCAAGTTACAAAAATTTGCTAAAACCCGTTAAAAACTGTCAGTTCTCTGACATACAGATCCATGTGACAGGTTATGATACCTTTGGCAAACATTGCGAATGTAAATCCTGTTGTTATGAAAGAAGGTCCACCGGAAAAATACATCCAGATTGTGACAATTGATTGACACGAGTTCTGGTTCATGGGATTTGTGCAGTTTGAGATAGCATCACTTCATCTCTTAGACAACATTTCTGATTTCAGAGCTCATCAAAATGCTTCAATACCTATCACAAGCTAGCCAGTGTGTTGTACATTACTTTTGATGCATCCTTACCTCATATGCTTGGTTATATTGTTGTTTGCATTTATCCCTTTCGCTTATTTTGTTTAATGCTATTAGGATTGTATCATTGTATCCTAATTACAGAGCAATTTATATAGTATGAGTTTTGTTTGTTTAGACTGTGCTAGAAGAAACTTTTGTTCTATTTCAGGGCCCAACGAGGGCAAATGCCACATGCAATACATGAAAATCTTCTTCTTTTCTTTTTGGACAATTAATTAAGTTTTCCAATTCCAATTTACACATTCCACCATAACATCAGTGTAAGGAAGCAGAGTCTATGATATAGCCAATAGCAACATAGGATTTCCAGAAATTAACCATCCTTTTATTAGCAATAACCTAATAAGCCCTCAAATTTGTAGATCCTCCACTGTGGTTATAATACTAGTGAGTTCACTGCTGGCACTGTCATTCACTTCGCTGCCATCACTAATCTCCACAGCACTCACTTTCAAAGTGAATTTGTAAGTGTAACATGCTTTCAGTGGAAATTTTTTGTTACAATTTATGTTGCCTCCTCTCTTGTTATGGTACCCCGGATAGTTCTCCTGTCTAAATTCAACTTTGTCTTTCAGTTGTAAACCTGCACATTCTGCTAGCTTCTCAACTTCCCATGTGTTGTAGGGATAATCATCCCTAACAGTTACATGAATTTCACCTTCTTCTTGCACCATTTCTTTGGCTGTTTTGAAGTAAGCTGCTATCAGATCTTGGTGCATCCTGTAATTTTGTCACGCCATCCCAAAGGAGCCAAAAAGAAAGTGGAGAAAAGAAAATAGCAAAGATTACTAATTAAGTAAACAAATTACATGCAGATCAAACTAAAAGGGCGAAAAATGGCTGGTTAAGTACAATGAATTAGAGGCCTTTTATAGCCATTTGGCAACTAAGGAATTTTTTGTTACCCATGTCATTTTGTTCATTGGACGAGATAATATAATATAATATATTCACTCGGTATAGTAGCTTTCCTCAATGAACTATTCCAATCGATACTTAGGGACTTTTGTTTCTTCACAATACTTGAACATTGGTACATTTATTCAGAACTTAAACAACTTACTTCCATTTGGATTGACCTATTTTTCAAAAATAAGTTTTTCAAATACAATGTTACAGTAATATATAAATAAAAAATATTTTATCCATACAATATATTAAATATTCCAAAAAAAAAATCTATAGTAAAAGTTTTTAATATACACTATTACAGTAAAATATTTCAAAAACACACTAAAAAACAGCTAATCCAAACGAAGCGATAAAGTCCATCTGAAAAACAATAAACCATTGTTATTTGCTTAAGATGGAGGTCTATTTCATGAGCTAGCTCGAATATCTCGAAAGGGCAAAATACTTAGGCCAATAACCTGTAATAGCAGTATAAGGTTTGGTTACAATAATACTAATAATTCAATACGACAACTGCAAAAGTCACAATTTTCCAAGCAAGTTAAGTGACAAATGCAAAAGGCTTTATAGAGGGGACAAAAAAAAAAACTTCAAAAGGCTTCTGTGTGCTTAATCAATAGAAATCTTCACTTACCGAATAAGAATGGAGTCTCTTTCATGCAACCAAGAATAATGCCCTGCGTGCGGAAAGTTAAATAGTATGACATCAAATTTCATTTGCTTCAAATCTGGATGCTCGTTCATGTTGTGTACATCAACTTCATACAAAACTAGGCATCCCAATTTTTCCAAGTCCTGCAGATGTGCTGTGCTTGTCCAATGCCTCACCGGCAACATCTCTATTAATATAAAAACAAAAATAATGTGAAATGAATGCCTAAAATTAAACGCAAATTCAGTGTTGCTGACAAATCACTAATGCATGCATGCCCATTAAATTGAACCCTCTCAGTCGTTTTTGGCTTTCAGAAACTTAGTTTAGAGAAATAACTGAAAACTAATAAAAATCAGGCAAAGACTTGAAGAGAAAACAGAAAAAGGACCGATGTAAGGAGTATATGCATTAGTTTCTCTGTCCCTAATTTATCACACATAAAAAACAAAGAAATGGAAACAAATGAAATACCCATAACTACTAATAAACCACCTTTAGTATGAAGACATGTTGCCACCATGTTAGCAGCATTGCGAAAGGCTTTGGCTAAACAAGCAGAAAATGAAAAATCTCCTTCACCTATTAACAGTATCTTATGGGAACTGCTATAGTGCTGAATCCATCTTTCTTTTTTCTTGTTATTATTCATCTCTCTATCTCTTAAATTCAAAGGTCAGCCTCTGAATGTTTGTGCTTGGGGGGAAAGAGCTGATCTACTCTATATTTCAGGGCCCTTTAATTGAACCCAAATGTTATATACTGAAATCAACATTGCCCATTGCAATTCCCAAAATGTTAAAAAATTTGTGTTGGAGTTAAGATATAGGGGCAGACAAACGTTCAACTTCCATACATTATGGTTCTTGTAAGTTAACTTTGTTTGTTTCAATGTATCTACCACGTACCCAAGTCAGATTTTCAACCTACGATTCAAATGATACTTAAGAATTTACTTTAATCAATCTTTTAATGAAAAACCAGGATTAATTACATCTACCTCCCTTATGATTTGGCCAAACTACTAGTGGAACTCTTGAGCAGTAAAAAATAACAATCATCAGCTTTCACTTCAAAACATTTTAACAAAAGAACAGTTAGTTGACTAACGACTGTTATTCACAATTATTTAAAAGGTAGTAGTAAAATCTCAGTATTGCCCCTCCAAAAATCTTTAATTACCTTATATTAACTATTTTCTTTTCCATGCAATTTTTATGCTCTATAATTTTTATTTTTTGAACAAAAATTATTATAAACAAACATAAAATGCTATTTTATAAAATTTAATATACTAATTGTAAGACAAACATTAAGATTAAACATATTAAAAATGGTTATCTATAACATCTTGATAATTAGTTTCAAGCAAATCTTAGCCCGTATTTCAATTATGTTTAATCTAATGAATGGTGAAAAGTCAACATATAAGTGAAGTAGATATATTAGGAAATAAATGCAATTAAATATTTGATTCTTTCATGACTAAAACGAATTTTAAAATCAAACTAATAGATGATAAACTTATTATTTGCTCAAATTATTAAAACTAAAGAAAAGTAATTTGGAAGAACTTTTACAATCCAGTGTTTATATGAATATTACTTTGGCCTAAATCAAATTGGAATGAAGAGAGTATAAAAATTAATAGAATATTTTAGGAAAGAATGACTATTTATACAATTTCAATGATTTTTTTAAATTTAAATGGACTTATATGAGTAATATGCTAAAATTGTGTAATATAGATTCATTAAAAAAATGAAAATTGTCACAAATTTAGAATTACAAATAAATAATCAAGTATAATAATAGAGATAAAGTGAGCATAATTGAAAAAAATTAAGAAAAGAAAAATTGTACATAAACATATAGAAAGTAGGAAATTATTAAATTGAAATTTATTACAAATAATGAAGTATAGAATGATAAAAAAAAAAGTTTGACCATATTTTAGTAATGGTAATAAATAATCAATGTAATTGCATGTAAAGTAGGGAATTGATAAATTAATATTTACTATAAATAAGGAATTATAGAATAATAGGAAAATTTGAAAGTTTTTCCAAATTTTAGTAATGGTAGTAAATTATCAATCCAATAATAGGAGTACAGAATATGATTGTAGAAAATTAAAATAGGAAAACTATTGACAAAAAAATAAATTGAGGCATAAATTATAAAAACATATATAAAATAGGTGATTAATTGATTTTTCAAATTTACTATAAATAAGGGATTAAAAAAGGACTGTAATTTATTGCCATCGAGAACAGAAAAAGATAAAATTTACCAAGAAACATAAGCAAGCACAATTTTTTTCACATGGCAAAAAAAAATTTCATTTGATAAAATATAGCTAACTCAGCAATTTACCAAAATGGGAAGTGAATGGGGAATTATATATATATATATATATATATATATATTCACATAGATGAATCTTCTAAAGATGAAGATGAACCGAAAACCTATTTACGTGAGTATTAATCTGGCATACTTTGTTCAAATTTAGTAATAGTAATAAATAATCAAACTAATATTAGGAATAAAGAACGTGATTGAAGATGATTAGAAAAGGAAAGATATGAGTTGATTGATAAAAAATAAAGAAGGTACAATTAATACAAATTTATATAAGGTAGGTCATTAATAGATTTGTTGAAATTGACTGTAAATAAGAAGCCATGTTATAAATAAGGAAGTGAAAAAAGAAGGGAATTAATTGTTACCAAAAAATAGAAAAAGAATAAAAAAGACACAAACGTTAAATATGTTCACATGGAAAAAAAATTAGATAGTCCACCGGGTAGAAAGTTAGAGTAGCCAACTTACCAATTTACTAGAACTGGAACTGAGCATTGTTTTATACATATATTGATATACGCTAGTTCCATTCCTATGCATTTGCACAAACACTTTTTTATGTTCTATAATTTTTATTTTTTAAACAAAAATTGTTGTAAAAGAACTTAAAATGCCATTTTATAACATTTAATATACTAATTGTAAGACAAACATTAAAATTAAATATATTAAAAATGGCTAATTATAACAACTTAATAATTAGTTTCAATTGAATCTTTTCCCATAATTCAATTATGTTTACTCTAATTAATGGTGGCAAGTCATATGAGTGAAAGAGATATGTTATGAAATAAGTGCAATTAAATATTTGATTCTTTCACGACTAAAAAGAATTTAAAAGGCAAACTAATAGATGATGAACTCATTATTTGCTCAAATTATTACAAACTGAGAAAAGTAATGTGGGAGAACTTTTACAACCATGTGTAAAAGAATGTGATTGAAGAATGTGAACCACCATTAGGAATAAAGATTTTTGGAAAAACTTTTATTGCCCCATGTAAAAAGACGTGATTAAAGAACATGACCCAATATTAGGAACAAAGAATGTGATTGAAAATGATTAGAAAAGGAAAGATATAAGTTCATTGACTAAAAAAATAAAGAAGGTACAATTGATACAAATTTATATAAGGTAGGTTGTTAATAAATTTGTTGAAATTGACTATAAAACTATAATATAAATAAGGAAGTAAAAGAGGAAGGGAATTAATAATTACCAAAAAATAAAAAAAAAACACACAAATATTAAAGACCTTTACGTGGT